AACTGAGATGCAGGAATTCAAGTAGCATTGTGTATGTGTCTATAATCCTTCAGAGTATTATGGAAAAACCTTTACAAATCCAATTTAAAGTAGATATATGAAGTTAAGTGATACTCTAAAAATATTAAGATAAATATATAAAGACCTTTTCTATCATTATTTTTATTGATAATACATATGTAAATCATGACAGCAAAGACTATTTAGGGAGTATAAAATTAGAATGTGTTGATTAATATTGGAATCCTGTGAAGTAAAGCGTGTTTTGAAAGACAGAGTTGATGATAAAATATTTGTACTCAGATCTTTTGAGTTACTGAATCAGTGTTTAAGAATTTATAAGGGCAGATATGAAGAGGTGAGGGTGCAGAGGTGGGTGTATAGAATCCCCCAAAAACCAGAGAGGCTGAGTCTTCATATCTGGCACACAGATGGTCACCTCCTTTTCATCACACAACACATAATACTGTGCACAGACACTGAACAAGCCCAGCAAAGGTCCAGCATCCCTAGTAACTCAAGAGCAGCATCCACCCATAAATCCATCTTTAATACCAATTTTTATTCACAGAGAAAATCAGTATGTCTTTTGTTCTGAGATACATCTTCTTTGAAGAACAGAGCAGAGATTTTTAGGGAGATTTAGACTCTAATTTCCAGGCTCATCTCTTGACACAACCTTTAGAACAATGGGTTTTTCTGGTTGAAGACGTGGTGTCTTGCTTAATTTCAGAGGAATCTGCAAACATTCAGCAAGTATATTTATATGTAGTAAATGAAACCCGAACAACAGAAAGAATCGGAAAAGGTACATTTCAGACAATAAAGCTATACAAACTTGTAAAAACTACTTTCAGCCTCATGTGTCTGGGATTCCTTACATTTATTCTTTAAGCTTTGACAATATTGTAGAATGAAAGCATACATGCCTCTGTCCATTTAAAGAAGTATTTCATGAGCATCTATTCTCTACCATCACTGAGATAAAATAATGTTGGCTTGTGTTCTTCATAATTTAAATTTTTGGAAAACAGGTGATGATGAGCCTGAGTGGTAGAACATTTGCCTAGCATGTGTGATGCCCTTGGTTCCCCAGAGACACAAATAAAAAATTTTCAGCAAAATAGATGAATTTAAATAATTTAAACTAGATTTTTGGTATTATTTCAAACGCTTTTTTTGTAAAGCTAAATAAAGCGAATTTCATGGATGTTTGCTCAGGTTGCTTCACGGATGGGTTACATATGTAACCCTGATCAGGTTTTCTAATTTGAACTCTATGAGCAGTCCTTCCCTTCTAAGAGTCCAGGCATGCCTCTTGATAGAACCTATGAAGTTTAAAGATGGAAAAGACCTTCAGGGAACAACATGCTTTCTCCCCCTAAAGTTTCTCTTCCTCTTTGAAGTGCAAAAGGGGAACATTGGAGTTCTACATAGTTTTGAGTACCCCTTTAGTCTCATTCTCGCGAAGGCATTCCTTTAGTGTTGGGGGTACCTCCAACAGAGTAATCTTCTACACCCAAGAGAGAGAAGGGAAGACAGTTGTCATGGAGATTGAGAAGTTCCAATTTGGGAAATACTAGAAGCTTGCAGAAAGTACCTGCCCCATCTCAGATGTACTAGAGACCTACTTTCTCTGAGATTTAAGTTCCTTCCTGCTTAGAGGGTAGCTACCTGACTGCCCTGACTTCTCAAATAAAATGGACACCACTTCTGTCTCTTCCTTTCCCATATGGAACACGAACAAATGGGAAAGAAATTGCAAAATAAATGATCAGTTCCTAGAAATAAGCCATATAGAACCTTGCTTTTTGTGACTCAATGAAAAGTGTATTCTTCACAGGAGAGATTCCACATAGTTCCATAAAGGTAACACATTACTATTTTTAAATTTCAAATACTTTACAAATACTTTCTGCATAGAGATAAACACAAACATTAGACTGGGTTGACATTAGATTAGGAGAGATAGAGAGAGAGATACCAAGATACAGAGAGAGAGAGAAATAGAGAGATAGAGAGATAGAGGTGTCATTTGTTAAATTTTAAAATTAAAAAAAGCAAAATTTCGAGCCAAGTACTCTGAATCAATGAAAAGTCTCTTCTTAAATATTTCTTGAATCCTTCCAAGAACAAGTTTCCCTCTAAGTCACCATTGAGAGTTCATGAAGGGCAAAAATGAGGTGATGTAGTTAAGTGGTATGATGTAGTTAATATACAGAAAAAATGGGCCTCCAAATGGGTTGCTTTTGGGACAAAATATTAACTTAGATGATCATAAAAGTTTGGAGTAACCAATATCAAAAGAGAGGAATTAATGTGTCCTGCATTAGATGGGAGGACTACTTAGATGAGTTTGGGGACTGAACTAGAAGTTGAAAGATGAGAATAGAATGAGGAAAATAGGGAAATAAGATTCAAAGAGTTACTATTGAAATGTAAAAGTAGTTTTTCTGCAACAGGATGCCAGGAAGGTTGGATCAATTAGGAAAACACTGAACTGCATAAATCCTTCCTATCTTTAAGAAAT